AGCAAGGAAAGGCTAGAACCTTTATTAGGGTTTTATTGTTGTATGAAGCCTCCTCAGAAATATGTCCCTTCACTTCCTTTCTATATTCCTTCATAGGGTCTCTGTGCAGGAAGAACTTTTAGAGTCCAAAAGTAATTACTTATTTATTTTGGATAGATAGATAGATAGATAGATAGATAGATAGATAGATGTGCTCCTTTCCTCAAGCAAAGAGCAGTCTTTTTTATATCCTGTTCTTTCTCAAGGTCCAATATGCTGTACTGGGAACTGACAGTACAGGCAGTCCCCGACTTACATACATCTGACTTATATACGACTCCTACTTACAAGTGGAGGCTATTACTGTACAGCAGGGGTAGTTGTAACGTTACCGCGCTCGTGCTGACAAGGAGTGCCCACCTTTTGGGGTCTGGTTCGTAGTACTGTACATACATTACAGGATGTTGGCTCTTGTTAGACGTGCAGACAAGGGGTGCCCACCTCTTCTTCTGGGTCACTGTGAGGTTTTTACTGCTGTCTGTATCATCATTAGAAAGATTTAATCTCACTTCCTGTCCTTGAGACAACAGGAGGTGAAAGGAAATCTACCCCTAGGAAGGGGAATTCACTCCAGTAAGAGTTGTCATCGGAAAAAGTTGTCTCCACCGAAGCTTTATCACCAATCCTTGTTTCCATGTCAACCCAAAATGTTCAAAATCCAATTGTAACAGGGACAGAAAGTGAGGTGAAATCTTCTGAACAGGGGCACACACAGCAAAACAAACTTTACAGGGGGTAAACCCTTCCCTATGCTATCGAAAACAAAAAAAGTCCCTATCTTGTTCGTAACCTGGGGACTGCCTGTAACCACCACCTCGATCCTACCAGATCTTATATAGACCCCACATGACCCCAGATGGCCTTAATTGTAGATAACAGCTATTTTCTGCTATGGTTGACTACAATAACACCATCTGCCATGCGCCTCCTCTCCTCTAGTACTAGTGTGGAGTAGAAGCATCTTCAGTTTATTCAAACAGTATCACAATATGCTAAGCCAGGATAGTTCAAGTGAAAGTTAAAGAAACGATCTTGAAAAAAGGGGAGCTGCTTCAGGCACCAAAGATCACGCGCCTACAAGCTCCACTGATGAAAATTTGCTTCTGATCCACTACCATGTAAAACACAAAGTTTGAACTTCACCTTTAAAACTGGCTACTAAAACACGAACATTCTAACTTGTCACAAAAAATAAATCTCTAAGTATTGAATCCAGTTCTCTGCTCAAGCACATCATTTACTTGAGACTAAGGCGTAGCTAATTGTGACTGATACGCTATCTATATCTGCGGACAGCCATAGAGACAAATTACTGAGATGGCAAAGTCACTGCTAAATGCGAAAAAGATAAATTCGCTGATTGTAGCATTGCCAAACTTAGCAATTACCAATTCAATTACCTGCAAAGCTCGCCATAGACCGGGCACTTTTCCAGCTAATTTCAACCACTTTCGAGCCACAGAGAATTGCATATAAGGTCACAATTAACCTCCAGAAACTGAGCATACACCCATGACTGATCAGCCACCAGAATTGTGACATCAAAACTGGTCAACAGCTTTAATATCATTTATTGAAAGATGGAAGTGAAACGGAATCGAAACTAGAAAAAAACAATGGCAATTTTTTCAAAAGTGTTCAGATTTGTGCACCAACAGGTCAATTTTGATCCATTCCAATTCCAGTCAAACAAAACCACTATTATATGTCTTAGAATTCTTTATGTCTGTGAAGGTTATCATTCATTCAGGTCATGGTAAATCTGTAAAAAAAATTACAGTTAGAATTCTTTATGTTTTCAGCAATAAAAAGAAACAAAAAGTTGGATCGATCTATCAAGTTGCCACATGTAGGGCCAGCTTTAGAGCCGTGTCACACCAACAATTTTATACAGCAATATTGTACTGGCTTGTACTACTCTCGGCTTATTTCTCTGGTGGATTGTAGCCAACAAAGCTGTCGATTCTGTAGAGAGATTGAAACATTGCAAAAAATGTATCCCCCAGTGAATGAGCTACAAACGGATGGATTTGATTAAACAAAGATAATTTATTAAAGTGACACTAAACTCAGGAGTTAAATCTTACAAATGCATTCAAGGACCTTAACTATTTAAAAAAAATTATCTTATTTGTGTATCACTCCGCTGTAGATCCTCAAATCATCTCTGAATTGGTGCTGACACTGTCCTTCCTTCTGGAGGCCTCCATTCACATATAGTGTTTGTGTTTTGCGTGCGGTTTTCCGCACGGAAGACCACATGGCACAAAAACGCAAAAAAGCTTTACAACTTCATGGATTCCGCTCGTTTGTGGCTATTATGTGCGGAATCCTCCCCTGAAATTGCACTTGGACAATTTTGTGGGGTGTATGGTTTTGTACTATGTGGTTCCTGCAATAGTGTGAACAATGCACCTTAAAGTGCATTGTTTTTTATATTTAGAACGGTTCCGCACGTATTCGTATGGCTGAATACGCGCCGACAACCGCTCCTGTGTGAGTGGAGCCTGCATTGCTGCTGACACTGTCCTTCCTTCTGGAGGGTCGCTACTTTTGTTCCCCATGGTGCCTGTGTGTGTTGTAAAGTAGCCACCAAACTCGCTCCCGTGATGGACTACAATTCACATTTAGTTTACTAATTTGTATTGAGATTTTAGTCCATCACAGGAGGGAGCTTGGAGCGGTGATTACTTTAGAACACACACAGGGACCATGGGGAACAAAAGTAGCCCCCCTCCGGAAGGAAGGACAGTGTCAGCACCAATTCAGAGATGATTTGAGGATCTACAGCTGAGTGATACACAAATAAACTACATTGGTGTAAATAGTTAAGGTACCTGAATGCATTTTTAAGATTTGAGTCCTGAGTTTCGTGTCACTTTAAATACAATTCTTGCAATATGACCCTTATAGCGCTAAGGGTCGTAATACCAGGGAAAACACTGAACAATCTTTTATGCTGGTGTGCTGCTTGCACTTAATCAATCCAAAGCTAATATAGTTGTTTTTTGTTTTTTATTATGGATAAAGTAGGAAAAGGTTAGAACTCCTGTCTTGTACGGCTGTGATTGGTCTACGATGGCAGCCAATTATAATCCACTATTAAGCACCTTGGAGAATGTTGAGCTGGGGAAGACTGAAGCACAATGTGAAAAGCCTGTTTCCACTATGCAAATTTTAGAATTATGTATTTGATGAAGCGGGCACAAAATCTTATAGAGTGTCAGATCCAGGATTGCAGATTTCCCCCATTACAAGAAAACGAGGTAAGTGTATACACTGGATACATTTCATGACATTACCAGCTCTCAGTCTGAAAATAACATCATGCCTTTACATCGGACCGAGAGTCAACTGGAGTCCTTCAAAGTAACGAGAGCAAACGGAGAGAAATTTAATTAAATCTATTTTGCCCTTTGATGACGTCAACCAATCAGTTCTCTGCAATAATTTAATCAGAAGGCGTGTCCCCGAGGAATGGAATTGATTGCATCAGCATAGTTATTAGATTCTGACAGTCTCAATACTATTGCAATTTGGCTGACGATAAAGTCTTATTAGATAAAAGAATTTGATGGAACTGGATATACCAGACAGGTTCTGCTAGTTTATCAAAGGTCATTAAAATGCTTCTCATCTTCAAATAAAGTCTAAAGTGCTAATGCCAAACAGCCAGCAACATATATGTGTGTGTGCACAGGTATGGACATACAGGCTTTATTATTGTAAAATACATAGCTTGGATAGAACTGATGCAATAGGCAAGGCGGATGGATGAATTATGGATGTGTGGAGGGATGGATTTATAGATGGATGGGTGGATAGATGAATGGATGGATGGCTGGATTGATGGATGGATGGTACCAGACAGATAGATAGCCTTCAGCTATCTCTTACTGCAAATGTTGTTTTTTAGCTTCAGAGCAGATCAATTGACCATTAATAGAGATAGCAATGGTCATGCTACAAGAGATGAGCAGAGACTGCAGTCATGCTACAAGAGATGAGCAGAGACTGCAGTCATGCTACAAGAGATGGGCGGAGACTGCAGATGTGCTACAGGAGATGGGCAGAGACTGCAGTCATACTGCAGGCATGCTACAGGAAATGGCCAGAGACTGCAGGCATGCTACAGGAAATGGCCAGAGACTGCAGGCAGGCTACAGGAAATGGCCAGAGACTGCAGGCAAGCTACAAATGATGATCAGAGACTGCAGTTATTCTATAGGAGATGGCCAGAGACTGCAGCCATGCTACAGGAGATGATCATAGACTGCAGCCATGCTGCAGGAGATGGACATAGACTGCAGCCATGATACAAGAGATGGGCAGAGTCTGCAGGCATGCTACAGCAAATGGCCAGAGACATGCTATAGGAGTGGTTGGAGACTGCAGACATACCAGGGGAGACTGTTAAAAACTCAGATTACCACCATGACAACTCTTTTAAATCAGCATTCTCCCATTTGTTCTCCATTCAGACCATAGAAAATAATGCTGCCACATATAATGTCCCTTTTAGGAACACCCATTACAATACATTAGAGAAAAAATGCCTAAAAAGAGAAAAGGGAATGGACAGTACAGACAAAGTAAGTAAGTGTTAAAGAAATAAAGAAAACCATTGAACTAGAAGAAGCCAGTCTAATTAACGTTACCATCACTGGCCCTGAGTTAGCATCTAGGCAAGGAAACCACTGACTACCTGCTGCTGGGGCCCAACGGCCAGATAAAAAGTACCAAAGGGGTGCAGGATCTGTGCCAGTGACCCAATATTAGTGGACACCCCTTTGTGTCTTTGCGGACAATTATCACAGACAAAGTTTTCACGTCTGAAATGTTTCTGAAGTTCCGTACTTCCATTACCAATTACATGTTCCAACTTACAATCATCAAAGAAGAGAAAAACTTTTTCTTTGTTGAAAAGAAAGAGTTCCAATTTTACAGGAGGATATTCTCACCCATATCGCTGGCGTCGACATCCAGTTGCGTTGTTTTCTTGAAATTCTGTGACATATCCAGAGCCAATTGTTCCGTTGTGTGCAGGAGTTTCGTGATACTTTTTCTTCGGCTCTCATCTGTCAGCTTTTTCCAAACTGTAATTTTATCCTTTTCAACAAAGTTGTTCACGGTGTTAACAAAAGTCTGCCGATACATAGGGAAAGGAGTTATAATAGTACACTTTGCCCATTTGCTGTTCTCACTTTAAAGTGAATTTGTCACATTTGAAGACAGATTACAGTGTTACCGAGCGGATGGAAAGAATAAAGGAAATGAGCTTTCTTTTTAAATCCATGTTACCGCTGCTGAGTAACCTGCAGTGGGAAATCAACAGTTTTTACATTTTCTATTTCAAGGAAAACAAAAGCATAGTTTTAATGGCTGCACATCATGAGTCATTATTGTCAAATTTTATTTAAAGAAACGTTTGAGCTTCTATTAAAATGTAAAGTGCATGCGATTTGCTATGCAAGTCAGTTTTTATTAAAAATGTATCTAAATCCAAGAACGAAAATGTAATATATTGCAGCTTATCAGGTTTTTTTTTTTTCTTTACTTTCCCCTGGTGATCCCGTAACACACTCACTGTCCTAGGGTGGTGTTCTGTCGAAAACTCCAACTCCTCGAGATCTCCAACGATGTCACTTCCGGTTTACTTACCAGAGGTTTGGGTGAGTAGGCTCTACTGCGCATGCACCACCCGCGGCATTTCGCTATACAGATGCCACACAGCAACAAAGTATTATAATCAACTAGACTCAGACTAATCTAGCACGTTATTAATCTGAGTTGCACCACTCAATATGGCCACCAAAGTCAGGCAAGCGTCGGCCATATTGAGTGAGGCAACTGAGATAAAAAATGTGCTGGATTAGTCTGATCCTAGTTGATTATAATACTTTATTTCTGTGTGGTATGTGTATTAGGAAATGCCGCGAGTGGTGCATGCTTAGTAGAGACTACTCACCCAAACCTCTTACTGGTAAGTAAACCCGAAGTGATGTCGTTGGAGATCTCAAGGAGTTGGAGTTTTCGACAGAACAGTGGCAATGCTTACCCACCGTACTGTATTTATAGAGGAGCAGGAAAGTGTTAGCCTAACCTAGCCACACACATATAGGCTTATATTTAACAAATATATACCGATTAGCCATAACATTATGACCACTGAGAGGTGAAGTGAATAACATTGATTATCTGGTTATAATGACACTTGGAAGTGGGGGGGGATATATTATATAAGGGCCGAAGGGCAAAGGGCTGAATTGTGATGGCTAGATGAATGGGTGAGAGCAACTCGAAAACTGCAGCTCTTGTGGGATTTACCTGGCCTGTAGTAGTCAGGGCCCACCAAAAGTGGTCCAAGGAAGAAAAAAGAGTGAACCAATGACAAAGGGTCATTGATGCACGTCGGGAGCAAAGGCTGGCCCATGGACCTTCGGGAGCAAAGGCTGGACTGCCGAAAGCACCTACAATGGGTATGTGAGGATCAGAACTGGACCATCAAGCAATGGAAGAATGTGGCCTGGTCTGATAAATCACATTTTCTTTTACATCAGGTGGATGGCCTGGTGTTTGTGCGTCACTTACCTAGGGAAGAGATGGCACCAGGATGCATGGGAAGAAGGCAAGTCAGCAGAGGCAGTGTGCAGAGGCAGTGTGATGCTTTAGGCAATGTTCTGCTGGAAAATCCTGGGTTCTGCCATTCATTTGGATGTTACTTTGACACGTACCACCTACCTAAACGTTGTTGCTGACTAAGTGCACCCTTCATGGAAACAGTATTCCCTAGCCTCCAAATTCTCCAGATCTCAATCCAATCGAGCATCTGTCTGGGATGTGCTGAAAAAATAAGTTTGATCCATGGAGGCTCCACCTCGCAACTTACAGGACTTGAAAGATCTGCATACCTTCAGAGGTTTAGTGGAGTCCATGCTTCGATGGGTCAGGGCTGTTTTGGTGGCAAAAGGGGGACCTACTCAATATTAGGCAGGTGGTCTTAATGTTACGGGTGCTTGGTGTTATTATCTTTAGTTATCTGGTAGACTTTGCACAAACTATCTAATCAGTGGACCTCCGTTGTGAATGCTCTTAAAAGCTTATATTAAACTTAAATTACATACCGTAAGGGTGGTATTCATCAAGGTCTCTGCATTCAGCGCTGTCTTATTTAATGTGCTTAGTTGTGACATGGAGGCTGCAAGTACTTCAACATAGGAAATTATATCAACAGGTAGAATATCTTTTGTCGTGCTCTTCTGAATCTCTTTAAGAATAGCGATCGGCTCTTTGATAGTGTTGACCTAAATGGCAAAGATGAGAAAGAGTGACATAGCAGTGGGTGCCATCAACAACTCCTACGGGGCCCATTAAGAACTTTTTATACCATTAAATTTCAATATATATTTAATTGAGACACATAGGGTTATTTTCAATGGAACCTAAATAAAAGGAAAGATCAGATTACACAGGCTGCTAAATGAAACTTTTCTAGCAGAGCTGGGTTGTGTTTAGTGAGTCATACAGAGGCTGCTAATAAAATGCTGGCCTCATTTATATGAAAGAGTCATATGGAAAGATAAGGTTCTCTCCACTATGCACATAATCACAATTTGCACAGCACATATTGAACCAGTAAAGGGGTTCACTGGACCTCACTTGGGAAGCCAATGCTCTATCCAGAGGTATAAGCTACCCACCCAATATTAACCTCCCATGAGCAAGTAAATGAGGCCTAAAGGGCATCCTCCTTTCATTTTGTTGCAATGAATGCAGAGGATTCAACCTCAACCTAACCACTCAACCATCACGTTCCCAAACAATTAATCCCCACACAGCTACCTCCTCATGTATCACTTGTCCCTCCCTTTTAGATTGTAAGCCCTCAGGGGTGGGGTGCTCATTACCATCTTGTCTTGAATTGTATTGTGATTGTAATGTCTTCCTTATATTGTAATGCGCTGCACAGACTGTTGGCGCTATATAAATCCTGTATAATAATTATTATAATTATTATGGATCAGGTGTCCCATTCCCTTTGATGTCAACAACCAAAATACTATACAAGATTATTAGATGCTACCTATAAATGGTGTTCATATATGAACTCCAAAGGCCCCTTTAACGGTTCACTGAGAGATGGATTTCCCTGATGACAAATCAGCAAGTGGCTCTTGGCAAATGGGCCTGATTTGCTAAGCGTCCCATTTCAGTCATACTTTTTGCTCATCACTATTCACAAGTTTGTTTTATTTTGGGAGCCATATTGTAGGCTTTATATACAACCCCAATGCCAAAAAAAGCTGTGTAAAATCTACATAAAACCAGAATGAAATGATTTGCAAAGCTCATAAACCCAGATTTTATTCACAATAGAAAAAAGAAAACATATATGAGAAAATGGAGCATTATAGGAAAAAGGTAATTTTGAAATTGATGGCAGCAACACGTTTCAAAAAGTTGGGACAGGGCAACAAAAAGCTGGCAAAGTAAGTGGTACTAACAAGGAAGAGCTGAAAGAACTAATTAAGTGAATTGGCAACAGGTCAGTAACATGATTGGGTATAAAAAGAGCATTTAAAGGTGGCCATACACTGTACAACCATCGCAATACCTTAGTCTTGCCATGGTTGTAAAGTAATTAAAAAAACGTTCGATCTGCCCATCTTGGACAGGCAGATCATACTCTCGATCATCGCAAGCCCGCCCCCCTGAGGGGTGGGCTTCCGATGACCGCAATGCTGAACGGGCAGTGTGCGCGTGCGCACACCGGCCCGTTCGGCATTTGTCTCCCGAGGACCTTTCAAACCAGCCGAAAATCGTACGATTTTCGGCTGGTTTTCTAGCGTGCTCCTTAGACAAAAGACGTGCGACCGTACAGTAGAAACGAAAAGTAGTTCACACTGTTCGATTCTCGTACGATCGCGGGATCGCGGGATCGTGTGAGCAGTGTATGGGCACCTTTAGAGAGTCAGAGTGTCTCAGAAGTAAAGATGGGTAGAGGTTCACCAATCTGTGAAAAGCTGCATCTACAAAAAGTCAAACATTTTCAGAATAATGTTCCTCAATGTAAAATTGCAAAGACTTTAAATATATTATCATCTACAGTACATAATATCATCAAGATATTCTGAGACTCTGGAGAAATCTCTGTGCTCAAGGGACAAGGCCGAAACACAATTAACTTGTTGAGGTGTCCTTATTCCTGTTACAGGAAAACATTTGTTCTTTTAATAAAAATATTTTCGTGTAGCTGGCAGAAAAACGCACACCTCTGCTCTTGAAAAATGTGGATCAGAGTTCAGCCTCTGTTTTTAAAAGCGCTCTTAGCACAGAGGAAGGTGTCCTTCAAACCCATTATGGACAATGTGCTGAAGCTGCAACATTTTTGGTTTGTTTTGTTTTGTTTTGTTTTTTTTGAAGCGCTGCTGTGAGCATTTTGTACAGCTGTCTATAATGATTGACTTTAACCCTTTTTGTCCAGCAAAATCAAATGCTATTACCTTTTTTTATCTGCTTTGTGTATTTACAAACAAAATACAACCTTTTGTGCAATAAGTTTGGCTTTTCAAAAGCATTTTTATATTAAGCAAGCCTTCCATAATCAATAGAAGCTCCTCTTTACCAACAGCCCCATCCCCACTCCCCACTCCCCAAATACATAGACAGTGTGTGTGAAGATCACATTTGATTAGGATTATTGGCTTCACATGAAAGTAGAAGCTGGAATTTCACAGAGGATTGTTATTTATTTATTTACTTGTTTATTTCAGTCACATTCATTTGTTTTTTGCACTTATAATACCATAAATATTCACATATATATTTGTATTTGCATGGTTAGTTTGAATGGGAGAGGTGGGATTAAAGTAAATCTTTTTCATGGATGGTCTACTTTAAAGTGACACTAAACGCAGGAGATGAATCCTAAAAATGCATTCAAGTACCTTAACTATGAACAAAAATGTAGTTTATTTGTGTATCACTCAGCTGTAGATCCTGTCGAATTACACAGGCAAAGTTGAAGGAATTTTTTTTTTGCATGCGCAATAAACCTCAAGTGACACTCAGCCCAGAAGTTAAACCTTAAAAATGCATCAAGGTACCTTCACTATTAACCAAAATGTGTCTTATTTGTATATCACTCGGCTGTAGATCCTCAAATCATCTCTGAATTGGTGCCGACACTGTCCTTCCTTCTGGAAGGGGGCTACTTCTGTTCCCCATGGTCCCTGTGTGTATTGTAAAGTAGTCACCGCTCCAAGCTCACTTCCGTGATAGACTACAAACTTATGTTTAGTTTACTATTTTGTATTGAAATTGTAGTCCATCAAGGGAGCGAGCTTGGGGTGTATAATTTACTTTACAACACACACAGGGACCATGGGGAACAAAAGTAGCCACCTTTCAGAAAGAAGAACAGTGTCAGTACCAATTCAGAGATGATTTGAGGATCTACAGCCGAGTGATATACAAATAAGACACATTTTGGTTAATAGTGAAGGTACCTGGATGCATTTTTAAGGTTTAACTTCTGGACTGAGTGTCACTTGAGGTTTATTGCGCATGCAAAAAAAAAAAAAAAATTCCTTCAACTTTGCCTGTGTAGTTCGACAGTCAATTCTGCTTCAGATATAACTCTCATTTTATTTTCTTGCTTGTCCTAAGTACAAAAATGTCATACATGTTTGTACTACTCAATTGTTATAACCTTAGATCTAGCCCTAATCCCAGCTCGAATCCTAGTCTCAGCCCTAAAGCATGCCAATTTTCAGTCAATTTAAACTCTGGGAAAATACTATAGCAATTTTGTCAACAGCGATCAGATATCTCAGCTGTGGCAATTTCTATCCCATCTCCGTGTGATTCAAAACCACATATTTGTGTTGTGATTTAAACAAAAAATGTAATAGAAAGTTTAAATGCGTATGTATGGCCAGTTTTACATTAGCTCTTATGCTAACCCTGGCCCCAACACTAGCATTAGCTATAACGCTAGCCCTAGTCATGATTCTAGCCCTTAAATGAGCTCTGACTATAGCCTTATGATCAAGTAATGTATAATGTATGCATAAAGAAAATCTTGTTTAAATAAAATTCCGCACTGGGAATAATATTATACATTAGATTAGCTTGTCTTCTTTTGTTATTTGCCAGAATAAACAAAGGGAAGTAGACATTCTGAGATATTAGTAATGTCCCTGGGAATGAATATGTTAAAAACAGCCCGCTCACAGCAGTGGAATGCATGTCGTGGAAGCATATTAGGCAATAGATCTATAGCCTTTGGAGCATGCCTATAGTAATTAAAAAAAAACCTCTCGACCAATAACTAAATGATATAAGTACGCCAATGTACCTGTAAACCTGTGCTTACTTTAAGCCTTCTAAACTGTCACCAGACATGAAGGGTGGCACATAGCAGTGCTCGCATAAACTCAAAAAACATTGTAGAACTTCAAGAAACCCCAAAAGCCAGGACACTCTATAAAATCTCAATCATCTCTTGTAGCCGACCTCCTCTTGCAACTCACTATTGCCCATCCATTCTAGATATGGATCATTGGTTGCTGCATGAGGCAAGCCTGAGCTCTTGAGTACAGGGGCTGTTCACAATTTGGATAAAAGAGCACCCAGGGTACTCTACATGGTATGTCAGCATGCGCTGAGACAAGAGTAACATGATTGGCAGTTACTCTTATTTAAGGGTGATTCCAGCAGCCATTATTTTTGTACATGGAGATGCTTCCTGTGTCATCCCCGACAACCATAATACTTAATGGCAAAGTAAAGTAAAAAAGATGTGATAAAGTAAAGAAGTATTATAAAGGGCAAAGAAGCGTAAATAATTCAGGGCCATTCTCTGTAACCAGTTATGGACCTTGGACATCACCTACATACTTTGGGCTCTTTGGCCACATTGACCAGCAATGCCCGGCTGTAATTTGGACGTCAGCGACTTGCTTTATTTACACAGAAGCAGATTTTTCTGCTTCTGTGTAAACTGATACTCAGAACACCCTTTGCTGTGTCAAGAAAAGCTACTAAGTAGCAATTTTATTGTTGCCTAATTTTATTTTCTCTGGATCATTCATAGTAGATCAAAGGCGTGACCTCTGATCTGCATATGATGTTAGTTAAAGGAACTTTGTAACCCCATAGTAACTATATTCTCTGCTTAGTTATTATTTTTCTGCTGATTTATTTTATTACAATCAATATTTCTTGAATATTTTTTGAAATTTTCATTAATTTGTTATTTATTTATTTTTTATGACACATTTAAAAAAAAAGCACACTCAAAATGTTTTATTTATTTATTTTTTAACGATCATTTGTAATAACTTTGCTATTTTTTGGTATAGAGACAACATTGGAGGGGATGATTTAGAAATCATCTGCCACCAGGTGGAGATGGACCAGCATTTACGATGCTTCTTGGCTCCATCTAGTGGCAGGAATTACGTGCAGATGACTTGTCGTTTATAAATCTTCCACTTAGTGTCATTACACATGGGAAACTTATAGAATAAAAGGTGTACTTGTTGTTTTAAAACTAACACTGGTCAAATTACAAAAAAGTGCTTTTGTTACAACTTTTCTCTATGGATTGCATAGAAAATAAAATAATTTGTTTTCAAGACAATACTGTCAGGAGAAAGCCTTGTTTGTACTAAAAATATATACTCACTACTTTGTTATCTTAAGAAAGTTATTTCAGGATCAGAAACAAAAATTGCTCTGGTCTGTAAGGCCCGGACTGATCAGGAGGGGATCCATGCATGGATCCCCCCCTGAATGCAGCAGTACAGATTGGATGTCACTGCTGTGACCTCCGTATCTATCCAATTTTTTCCTCCATCTTGCAATGGAGGAAAATAGTGAAATGACCAGACCCCATGGCGGTCTATGGGGAATAGGATGTAAAAGGACATGTGTCCGTTTACATCACGTTATCCCTGTTTCTGCATGATCAGGTCAGTCGAAATTAAGCAAAAGAATGGAGCAGTACGGTACTGCGCACCAGGGAACATGGTTATCTAGGTTCGGGTATAGACACAAAACTCAGGAGTTAAATCTTAAAAATACATTCAAGTACCCAAACTGTTAACACCTTTTTGTGTATCACTCGGCTGTAGATCCTCAAATCATCTCTGAATTGGTGCTGACACTGCCCTTCCTTCTGGAGGGTGGCTACTTTTGTTCCCCATGGTCTCTGTGTGTGTTGTAAAGTAGTCACCACTCCAATCTCACTCCCGGGATGGACTACAAGCTCAGGTTTAGTTTCATCATTTGTATTGAGATTGTAGTCCATCACAGGAGTGAGTTTGGAGCAGTGACTACTACTTTACAACACACACATAGGGACCATGAGGAACAAAAGTAGCCACCTCCAGAAGGAAGGATAGTGTCAGCACCAATTCAGAGATGATTTGAGGATCTACAGCCGAGTGATACCCAAATAAGATACATTGTTGTTAATAGTTAAGGTTCTTGAATGCATTTGTAAGATTTAACTCCTGAGTTTAGTGTCATTTTAAAGATACTCTGTCATTTTGTTATGATTAGGTCTTTATTAAATAAAGCTGGGTCATTTTAAAAAAAGCAAAGCGAAAAAAGATGACTTACTATCGCACAAGGTTATAAAAGTGAATCTGATCTTTAATATGCATTAAAAAAGGCCATGCCTATGAACAGGAAAATATCCTTTTGTTTTTTACATAGTCTAGCTGAAAAGACACCATCACCACCAAGTCCATAGAGCTCAATCTTGCTTTCCTTGTAATTGAAACAATGAAACAATATAACCATTGCGTCGTCTCCCAGCATATGGCTTCTTATTTTGAAATGGCGATAACACATAAGGCGAAGGAAAGACAAGACTCTCCAAAACCACTTACCTTGATAATTGTCTGATTAATGTTTGCTGATATGCAGCGATCATCCAAATGGCATTTCATCTTTAGGTTCTCTGCACAAAAGAAAAAAGAGAGAAAGGAATATACACAATGTACATCTGTGATTGTCATTATCGTTCCATTCAAGAGGCTGACTTGTTATACTGGCTTGCAGCAAATAATAGCTGCAATGAATGTGCGTTTATGGGTGCGCAGGCGATAAGCAGATGAATGTAATTCCCTCAAAAGAACAATAAGCGCGGTCCTTTTAGCTGATGTACAAAACATGACGGTAACGTCAACATTACTCTAAGTTGCCGTGTGATAATAGAACATTTGTATCACTTCGCTGAGGTTATCTTGACAAACATAACAATTGGCAATGTTGGTGGGACTGGGACAAACAGCGGTCCCGAAGTGCAGAGGGTTGTCAGCTCAAAATAGGTATCGTGGTTGAGCTGACTTTCTATGCTGGCCCATATTCAATACCTGAGCATAGCACTAAGCTTTTAAAAGCTACTATGATTGCAAGTGAACAGAAGACTAAAGGCAAGCTGCCATTAAAGCATATGTATAGCCCAAACTTGTTTTTTTTTAGATTTCGATAGCATAGGAAGGGATAAAACCCCTTTCAGGTTATTTTTTGCTATCTGTGCCCTGCTAGGGAGATTTCCCTTCACTTTCTGTCTTGCAGACACATCAGGAAGTGAATAAAATCTCCCCCAAATTTAAGTGGATCTCAGTCTTACACAGTAAGCACTAAAACATTGTCCCAATAGGATTTACCTTCTCATCTTGCCTTTACATAAACTTTAAAGAAGAACTCCAGGTATGCAAAATTTTAACTCTTACAGTGAGGGTACCCCAGGACTGCAAGGGTTAACTGCTCGGCTCTGTGCCTGTCAGCACTCACCTCTCTACCCCTCCACTCTGGCTGTGGAATGCCTCTTGGCGTCCTCACGTCTAATGCTCCGTTCACACAAAAGCAGTTGCGGATCTGCATGGTTTCCGCAGGCATTTCAAAGGGGCGGTTTTGGGTGTTTTTAATTGCGTTTCAGAACAGAAACGCAATTAAAAATGCCCCAAACCACGCTGAACAGCGCAGTTCCATTGAACGCAGTTTGGAAACCGCACTGATCAGAGTGGAGCCGTGCAGTTGCATGAACGGTCCCCATAGCAATGTATGGGATCGTTCATGTCAGCGGATCCGCGCGGCCGAACCGCCCCGGTAAGAACGTGGCCTTATGCACATCTAATGCAGGTGAACAGACTGCATTCGAAATGATGACATCAGCAGGGCTTAGACCACCAGAGTCCAAGGGAGAAGAGCTTGCAGGGACCAGGCTAACAGCCAGGCAGGAGCGGGAGTCAGGAGAGTATATATATTTTTTTGGTTGAGCCCTCTAGACCAAAACGAGCAGTTAACCCTTGAAGTGCGGGGATAGCCCCACTGCAAGGGGTTAACTTTTTACAATCCAGAGAAGAAATCTGTTTAAAGCTGTTTAACCAACCAAAGGATTTGAATGCCTATTTCCATCTGGTTTTGAGGTTTACACAGCTCTGTCACACAGCACAGCCCTGCTTGGCTTGACCTCATCTTTCACTGCTGCAGTTTCACTTTCACTAGACAACAATAAATGGATGATATCTGTAAAAAATAAGTCAAGGCTTGCTGTATTTTTCTTGAAGACGGTTCACTGGACATCCGACCAGCTTTCTCAATTCAGAATGACTTGTACAAAAATTATCTGGGAATAAATGTGGTGAATGTTGCTCCAATCTGTTAGTCACAACCAGGTGTTCATTGCATCTGCCACATACAATGCTGTTTTAACACCTATATCTGGGCAGGTTAATAACACCTCCTAGCTCCAGTGATGCAAATGCAATCAGCACCTGGTTGCGACTAACAGATTATGTGGATTGGAGCGGAATTCACCATATTTATTCCCAGATAATTTTTGTACAAGTCATTCTGAATTGAGAAAGCTAGTTGGATGATCAGTGAAATGTCTTCAAGAAAAAATACAGCAAGTCCAGTTGCCTTGACTTATTTCTTACAGATATACCATGACCTGGATGAATGAGAACCTTCACAGACAATAAATGGATGAGCTCTTTTCTCTGTCTCTCTCCTCCTGCCAGCATGCTCCTTGCCATTCAGCCCACCTGAGTGCTTCCTTGTGGTGCTTCTCCCTCCCCCTGTCAGTGATCTGCTACACAGTGTATTGCAAAAGGAAGATACCTGCAGGTACATACACTGCCTGAAGTAAAAACAATGATGTACTAATGATAAGAGAGCTGCATTCATTTGAGTCTTTAAATATAAATGGATTGCAGCTTTAAAGTAACTGACTAAATAAAACCTGTTGCCTGCCGGCAACCGGGAGCGCTGGATTTGTCACCATTGCCTGGCAAAGTTAATTGTTAAACTTAGTAAATAAAGGCTAATGACTGATTGGTCACTGAAGGCAACACCGCCATGTGTTGCTTCCTTTACAGATGGGCTCCATTGTCTGGGGAGTCAACTCTGCACTGAACGGAGCCCTTGTTGGCACTTCACCAGCGTCTTTTTGATTCTTTTTTCCCTGGACCATTCTCCGGGGCCCACGTGAACTCTGCTGTCATCTTTTTTCGCTCTACGCTGTCCAAATCATGTTTACACTGAAGAGGGCCTTCCGGAATAATGTCAAGACAATCTCGGAGGAGATGCGCTGGCCGCTCGCCAAGTCACAGGCATGCCTGCAGATACGCTCAACCATGTCTAGCTAAGTGAGGTCCTGGGTGCCATTTTGTGCTTTGGAAGCCTTCCTTGGTAGGATAAAATCTACAAGGCTCCGAAGAGCTTTTATGTAAACACCGAAACAAAGGAAAAAAGAGAAGGGTTGGCTTTCATTTTATGAGCTAATTTCCAGGCACATAAAAATCAACACCAATTCATGCAAGTGTGTTCATTAAAATAATTATAAGGCGCATCAGCCTATTACAATCCCCAATACAGCAGAGCTCATCCTGGTAGAGGGAGAAGCAGCACAAATAGTCAAACAGTTGTGCTGCAGTGTTCCTGTGGACATAATGATAGTAGGAGAGAGCAGAGCAGATAGCCAATCAGCCAGTTGCTTTCCTTGTACTGTCCAGTCACAACCCAGGGGTGGGAACCAGACATAGCTGTACTACTTAGCTGCAGTATAGGAAAGTCAGGTCTCCAGGATGACTGTACAAACTCGCAGGACTGTGTGGATATTAGAAATGGATGGATAGAGGTACAAATCCTTTGGCAAGTAAAATATATTTATTTCATCTGTGTATTTACAGTAGCTGTTTGCCTAGAGCTCAGCTTTATTTAAAACATTAAAATAATAAATAAAAAGATAAAAATAAAAGATAATTAGAATGTTCTGATTGGTAGCAACTCAATGGATTTGTTCCTTCTAGTTGCATACTGTTATTTACTTTTATTGTTTCAGCAATACTATTAAAATGTAAATAATATTAAATATAGTCACACAGGGTCTATGTTGGAAAATGTTATT